TGATTGTGTGTGTGTATATATGTATGTGTATATGTATATATGTATGTGTATATATATATATATATACACACAATCAAATATTTGGATGGTTTGGCCCACCACAGAGCCCTGATATCAACATCGAGTCTGTCTGGGATTACATGGAGACAAGGATTTGCGACAGCCGACATCCACAGAAGATCTGTGGTTAGTTTTCTGAGATGTTTGGAACAACCTACCTGCCGAATTCCTTCAAAAACTGTGTGCAAGTGTACCTAGAGGAATTGATGCTGTTTTGAAGACAAAGGGTGCTCGCACCAAATATTGATTTTGATTTCTCTTCTATTCATTTACCTTCCATTATGTTAGATAATAAAAATAAACTATTAACACTTTCACTTCTGAAAGCATCCTTGCTTTACACTTTTGCACAGTACTATGTGTGTGTATATATCTATATCTCGCACACTATATCCAACCAATTCCAGAGTGGGTAGCACATGTCTCCATCTACTTTTAAATTGCACTCAAATATTCTCTGTGGCTTAATTTCTGACCTGTTCCTCACCCCATTTGCCCGATGATGTGCACAGAGGAGGCCATATCAGATTTGAAAACTGAAAGGCCTATTTTTTTCATGTGACGTGTTTAATAGATGGACTATTTATCTGAAAATGTGAGTTATAAAGGCAGTTGGTTGCACCAGAGTGTATTTAGGGATTACACAATGTAACGAGTGAACCCTTATGTACTTCTTTTTTTTTAATGTAAATTCTTTTATAAACTAGGCAGATCGTTTCCACTTTGCCATTATGGACTATTTTGTACATATTATTGGCACACAGTCCCAATAAAATACATTTTAAATGCAGATTTGAACACTCCTAAATGTGGAAAAGTCCAAGGGAGGTTCGTACCTATCCAAAGAACAGAAAATGGATTTGCTACTAGAAGCTAAAGAATGTTGTTTCCAGAAATGCATAAAGTTCCAGTTGCATTTAGTCTCTATTTCCAGTTGTTAGAAATCCCCTGTAGGCATCTCAATCAGTTTCATTAGTGTTGCTAACATGCCACAAGTTCTTCAGTGTGAACAACAAAGAGCCTCTGTTTTTAGTCAATACGATAAAACAAGTGGAGAGCCACCCTGTAGAAAATTCCAATAGTTGCTTCCCTACACATAAACAATGGCATCATTCATTGATGGCTTAAATTCTGCAGTACCAGCAACAGCCACATTGGAGCAGCACATAATATTAAATCTTTTGCAATTGTCCTAAAACTGATGTGTAATGTTGTGTGGAAGTTAAATGCCATTGTCCCAATCCCCTACAGACCAAATTCTTCCATGTGGCATTAAGTGAACATGGCTTAACCCTAATTTGGGTCAACAGTATATTATATATTTTTATAATTCATTTACATCTTTTCACGTAGGTTACAAGGTATGAAAAATGAGGATCCAAGTGTCCCATCTACAAATGCCAGCACCCCTCAGCCAGCGGCTAATTCTGTACAGTATCTGGCCCGAGCCTTACTGTTGATAGAGCAAGGCGTGGAACGTAAATACTTAAAGGCTCCACTTGGTAAGAGTTTTGGTAAAGTAACAGCTCTTGAATGCATTTTAAAGTTATAACTAAGTGGTAATCCATTTTGGTGCCATCTCACATACCAATACTGATACTATTGTGTAGTGCCTTTAACCCCTTCATGACTGAGGCCCTTTTTTCATTTTTTGCACCCATGTTATATTCCACATAAAGTAAATTTTCAGATGCCCTCTGATTCCTCAATATTTGTAAGGGAAACCCTTTGAGAGCTGGTTTGTTTTTTAGGTGAGATCAAAAACCATTTTCATATACTTACCTATGCAAAGTCTCTTTTTTTTGTCAGATTAGCAACGACATTTCCGATATTTTTAACATAACTTCCAGATAACTGACTACCATCTACCAACAGTCATGGAGCTTGCACTTTACCTTTGTCAGCCATTAGTGCACGGATAGGAAATGCAGCTGCTGCATATGCTCAGATGATATTGTGATCTGAATGAACTTTGGAGACATCAACTTTCCAGCTAGCAAAACACAACCAGACAGGATTACCATACATGAAGGGCAGAGAAAGATGTTCTCGAGTTTCAGGACCCACTACAATGTACTCCCTAACTTGGGTGACAAACAGATGCAGTGCATTCTAGGCTGGTTAAGATTTGTTTGTTTTTTGGTGTCGGGAAAACGCCTTTTTTATGGGTTGTTCTTTTGTTAACCCCTTTATGACTTATTTATCAAAAGTAATGTGTACATTTGTCTGATTGCCTTTTATAGGATTGTTTATAACCCCTCTTGCTTATTGCTGTATATTTTGTGCTGCTCATTTGAAAACTTTTCACTGTTTTATTATACAGGAGATGCAGAAGATACTAAAAAAGATTCAAAGTCAGACAAGAAAAAGAAGGAAGAGAGGAAAAAGAAAGATGATGATCAAGAGAAAGATGGTATGTTTCCATTTCTTTGCCTTCCGCCAATTATCAGCTTGTGCTTGCTGAAGTTGGGCTCGGTTAGCTTTTAAACGCCCAACAGAAGAAATCTCATTATTTTCTTTCACAAAGATTTTATTTGGTTTTTGTCAGTTTTTTTGTTTTCACATAAAGGTTACAAAAATAACAGAAGTAGGGCATGCAAGCCCTGCAACAAGGAACACAAATTGAAAGTATACAGCCACAACATTGTGCAGAGCCCTGCAGACTGTAAAACAAATCAATGGAACAAGTGTCAAAGAACATTTTGGGCATTTAAAGGGGGCAGTGCTGTTCAGTTTTAGTGAGTAAGACCTAAAATGACATGAAAAGGAGCATCATAAGGGGTGCTTATCAAGTCCGGATTCTGGGTATCATGGAGTCGAGATCAATGAGGTGGACGGTCCCCTACATCGAGACATCTGGTTCAGATGGTACGGAGGATGTCAAACAGCACAGATCAGTGTAGGGAGAGCAACAGGGGGGTTAAAGGAAGAGGGCATGGAAATGGAGAAGGAGGGAAGGACCGGGAATGGGAAAGAACAAAAGGAGTAGGACAAGGGAAGGTGGTGCGCTGGGGAGGGGGTCCAGGGGGAGGTGGGAAGTACAGAGCCTCTAAATGGAAAGAAGCTGCGGATCGAAGGATGGTGGTTTAGAGTAATCGATCCAAGGTTGCCAAATCAATAGGAAGCGGTCATGGGTCTCGGACAGAACCGCAGTCAGTTTCTCGTTGACCAGTATATCATCTATGCGATTTTTTACTTCCCTGAAGCTCAGAGTCGGGGTTTTCCACGCTCTGGCGATTGTCATTCTGGTGGCAACAAAGATGTGGGACACAAGGTGTTTCTGGTAACGCGACAACTGCGGAACTGGCTGTAGCAGCAATGCCTCGCACGGTTCCTTTGGTAAGGTGAGTTGGAAAAGAGAGTTGAGTAAATCGTAGACCCGATTCCAGAGGTGTGCCGCCCGGGGGCACGTCCACCAAATGTGGATCATGGTACCCGGCGCGCCACAGCCCCGGAAGCAGTGCGGAGAGTAGGAGGGAATGTATTTCGCCAGACGGGCAGGCGTGTAATACCAACGGCACATCACTTTGTAGGAGTTCTCGAGTGCGAGTACATTGCAGGAGCAACGAGCTATCGCTGACCAGGTATGCTGCCAGTCCTCAGGAGTTGGGGATCTGCCCAGTTCCTCATGCCACTGACGCTGATAAGGGGCAAGGGTGGTAGAAGTGGAGGTCAGCAGAGAAGAGTAGATCAAAGAAATGACACCTGGGGCGTGCAGATCTGAGTTGCAGCAGTGCTCGAAATAGGGTCATTCTCGACGGAGCTGAGGTGTTTTTCAGGAGCGAATTAATAAAGTGGCTTATTTGGGTGTAGCGGAACCATTCCCGAAGGGGGATGGATCTATTGGCACGGAGCTGCTGGAACGATTTCACGCCTGAGAGCGAGATGAGGGAGTGTACAGTGGTCAGATCATTGCGGGACCACCAAGCGAACGAGTGAGGGTCACTGGCACCAGGGGGGAATAATGGAGAGTTGAGCCAGGGTAGTAAAGGGAGGTGAGGCGACATCAGGTTGCCGGAGTACCGAACTCCGTCCCACACCTTCAGGAAGTGTCTAAGGATTGGGCTAAGAGTAGTAGGGCGATCGGTCTGGGATAGCCATAGCAGGGACGTGAGGGGCAGGGGATAACAGTCCACCATGTCCAAACATGCCCAAAGAGGGAGCTTGGTTGTTGAGTGTAAGAGGGCTAAGGCGGCAATGGTGGCAGCCGTATAGTATGCGCGAAGATCAGGAACTGCCAGACCGCCACGGAGCTTGGGGCGGTATAGCAGTTTTCGGTTGATACGGGGACGGGAGTATCCTGCGTTGGAGAATGCGAAAGATATGGCCAGGAATGGGGATCGGCAGGGCTCGGAACACGTAGAGCAACTTAGGCAGGAAGGTCATCTTCACTGCATGGATGCTTTCTATCCAGGAGATGGGAAATCTCTGCCAGGAGACCAGCAAATTAGTGAGGGATTTCAGGAGGGGGGGAATGTTGGCTTCGTATAGAGTTTCATAGGTCAGGGTCAGGCGGATGCCCAAGTATTTAAATCTCATTTTCAATGGCCCCTCTTCACACCTGAGCAGCAAAACGCAGAAAACAGTACATTAACTTTTTTGGCAGTGTCGAGCTCGTTTTTATCCCACATAGACTTCATTGGCAATGTGCAGCAGAAGCATGTTGCACATTTTTGTGCACGTTTGTATGCGTGTTCGTCCATTGGCCGCACTGTTTGTTGAGCTGCCAGTCAGAATGCGTGCCTTCATGTGTGTGCATTTTCACGGGCTTAAAAAATGCCAAACATGCAAATAAATGCATGCTGAACCCGCCTGTACAAACGTGCAAAACCTATGCCGCCTAGGTGTGAACCAGGCCTAAGTCCTTGCAAGAAAATACTGCAGTAAAGCAGACCTAACCTATAAAGTTAGGTCCGCTTTAATACACGAGAAAGACAGAGCAGGAGCAGTAAAGTTATCAGAAACATACTGCTGTAAAATGTGAGCCTCGCACCACTTTTCCAGGTCATGAGACTTGTGAAGCCAGCATCATTACCCAGGTGAACTTCCTCTATGCCACATTATGCAGAACCAGAATTCCACAGGTCTCACTTTTTACAGCTCACAGACACTTTACTGCCCATATCCTTTCACCCTAATGCCAGGCTAATAAGAAATAACTATAAGGTAGGTTTACACATTTTTCTTCCACCTTAAGTGCTGACGTTTGAGATGACATACTTTTCTTTCTCACTGCAGATGCTAGTGAAAGTGGTCGCATTCAGAGGACGGTACTGGATCGGTGGCGGGAATCATTACAGTCATCTAGTAGCTTGTCACAGATCTTCCTTCATTTGTCCACCTTGGACCGCAGTATCTTGTGGTCACGCTCCATTCAGAACTTCAGATGTAAGGTGTGCCGAAAGAAGGGAGATAGCGAGAGTATGCTCTTGTGTGATGGCTGTGAGAGAGGGCACCATATCTACTGTGTACGACCCAAACTGAAGGCGAGTTCTTTTGAGGCACTTGACAATAAGGTTCTTTTGATTGTGTTATTCAATGACAGCTACAGGGACTGCATTGGTTACTTGATACCCAAATTGTCTTAAACTGATAAGTGAAATGGTCAGTGGTTATTTGTATTTCATTTTTAAATTTAGAAATGTCTGTTTTCCCAAAATTGATCAGTTCAATATTGCCTTTTTTTATAATATTTATTCTTCTGAAGTAACAAAAAGCATTACGCCTTTCTACCTGACTTGTAGTGATAATAATCGAAGTGCTTCAGCTGGCATGATTTGCATGACCTGAAACCATTTTGTATACCTGAATAGGCCAAAATGCCCCTTAACTTTGACATGGTGAAGGTTCCACTAATTATAAGGGTTAAAATACTTTTATTCCCCATCAGTAAAGATTATAACAATGTAAAATGTTTAAATGGCTGGCTTTATTGATGTGTTACAGTGTATTCCCGACGGCGACTGGTTCTGTCCTGAGTGTCGGCCTAGACAACGATCCCGCAGACCTGATCGACAAAGGCCTTCCATGGATAGTGATGAGGAGGAGGAGAGTTTCCCAGAAGAAAAAGAATTGCAGGGAGATTCCGAGAACGATGTGGAAGAGGAAGCAACCATGTCTGAGGAAGAGAGGTAAGCAAGGCAGGGGGAACAGTTTCATAGCAGAAGCAAAATTGTCAGGAGAGAAACATGGAGGCTGCCATTGCTGATGTGCTCTTGCTTTTTTTCAAGCTGCATTATTTTTGGACACTTTCTCAACAAGGCCACTTGTACAAAATACCAAGCCAGTAAGAGATGAGGCAATATACTTACTGTATTGGTGGGCTGTGGGTTAAAAAGTTAGTGGGTATAGAAAAGAATCACCCACCTTTTAAAGTAATCACATTTTGTTGCTTTGCAGCCTGGAATGAAGACGCTCAGTTTTTGTTTTATCCAGCTGTATTTACTCAGTGCAGCCTATAACATCTAAGTGAAAGGTGTAACACCAACATGTCAGAAAAAAAATTCAAACAAAGAATCACTGAGTTGGAAAAATGACTTTTTTTGATTTGACTTGATTTAGCTCAGCATGAAAAGAACTTTCCTGGAGCATTTCAGTCACTGGTAGTCCAACTGAAGCAACCAAGAGGCCTACAGCAACTCTAAAACAGTTGCTGTAATTTATGACAGTGGTCATTGTGTGCATGTGACAACAATATCACAAATTTTCCACAGATGTGGCTTTTATGGGAGGGTTGCAAGAAAAAGCCACACCAGAAAGGCCACATGCAGTCATGACTGAGCTTTGCCAAAACGCACCTTAAAGATTCTGAGGCCACGTGGAAAAAGTCAGATGGTCAGATGAGCCTAAAATGTAAACAATATGTCTGGCGGAAATCCAATACAGCTCACCATCCAAATAACACCATTCCTACAGTAAAGCATGGAGGTGGTAATATCTTTTTATGAGGCTGTTTCTGTGCAGCAGGGACTGGAGCACATTTTTCAGGATAGATAGAAAAATGGATGGGGCAAAATACCATCAAAATCTTGAGGAAAATCTGCTGCCCTCTGCCAGAAAGTTGTCAATGGGAAGAAGGTTTACCTTTCAACAGGACAATGACCCAAAGCACCCAGCAGAAATTACCACACAGTAGTTGAAGGAGAAAAGGGTGAGTGTCCTTGCATGGCCTAGTCAGAAGCCCAGACTTAAACCCCATTGAAAATTTGTGGAATGACTTGACAAGACAAGAAATTGAGCAGTTCTGCAAAGAAGAGTGGGCAAATATTGCAAAGTCTACATGTGCAATGTTAGTAGAGACATATTTTTCCAACTCTGTGATTCTTCTGTTTTTGAATTTTTTTCTGACATATTGGTGGTCTATCTTTCACTTGAATGACATAAGTGTAACTACAACTGGATAAAACAAAAGCTGTGTCTGTCTTCATTTCAGGCTGCAAAGCAACAAAATGTAATTTATTTTAAAGGGGGTGATTCTTTTTTATACCCACTGTATCTCTTCGACCCCCCCCCAGCTGTGCACAGTGCTTTCTCTTGTCATGACTGTATCTGGATGTGTAGAATACTTGCTCTCCAGCCATAGGGTCGGGGGAGCAGGTATTCTACATACCCAGAAATGTGGAAATGAAGTGATGCTTATATACACAGGCTAGCTAAAGGGAAGTATGTTGCCTCTTCTCTTACAGGCTTGATATTTTGTAGAAGTAACCCTGTGGTGCCAGGGTCACTGTAATGTTTAAAACTGGGAAGATATTAGTAGAACCTGACCCGTTTGATTAAAAGCTGTTAAATACTAGGGGAAAACTGAAGTCAGAAAGTTTTTCTTAGAAATGTTCATTTTCAGTAATGTTGCATTTACCTCCAGTTGAAAAATTCTGTATTTGGGTTTAAGGCTTCTTCCCACCATTGAGCTGCATTTTACTGCAGACTACTGCACATGTATGGTGTGAACAGGGCACATAGAAAACAATTGTGTCCTATGTTTCCTGTTTAGACCATACATGTGCATTGGTGTGTAGCAAATGCAGTTCAACTGACATGATGTAAACAAGCCCTTAGAGATTGGTCATAAAAAAAATGTACACTTTGTACAGTGACCACTGCCACAAAGCTGCCATTTTAACTTTAACCCTTTGTGCTAAGTATGGCATATTTAAGTATGAACCCCTTAACTG